TATTTTGAATTTTCCATTATAATTTTAGCAAAATTTAATTTCCAATTTACTGAAAGTCGAAATGCATTTCTCTACAAAATGGAAGCTTGGCCTTTACTAAAAGACTGGCTAATCTGAGCATTAAATATTCCAATTGGAAAGGAAAGCAATGTTCAAATTTCCAAGTTTTATCCGATAAAGGTTCTTGAAAAGCAACTTGTTTAAGCGAAAAGCATTTCCATGAAAATTTTACTTTTTAGTTTCTTGTTCATTCCAATGATGGAAATTGGTTTGTTTATTTTATCTATCACAATGAGACTCGTGAGTTGAATCAAAAATAACAATACTTTTTTCCCTCTCAACTCTGGATTATCGAAATAATGGGAATGCAAAAATACTAATAACGATTCGAATGGGAGAAAAAACGAGAAAAAAAACTTTACTAAACTCTGTTTACTCAAACTTGCATTACATTTTGTACTCTTTATTCACTCTTGCAGCCTAATAGTACATGAGACAATTGAATTAGTTATAACAATAATTTATAATTTTGCTTTCAATTTGTGTGCCAAAAGTCTCGGTACTCAATCAACTGCAGATAATGTAAGCTAATGAACAATAATACAGATTGAATTGCATGATTGGAATGAGCTGTTGAAGCCTGAAGCATTTCAACCAATTTCACCATTTCAATGCCTTCGTACCTTTTCAATTTTACAACTTGTGATATTCATCAGAACTCTTTTGTAATCATTGTTATAATTAGATGCTAATAAATCAAACTTCTCTTCGACTTGTTCCTTTCATCATGAACAGTAAATATATTCACGATTATATTTAGAAATTGAAATATCATTGAAATTGTTATCACAATATATTTTAATTAGAAATGTGATGAAAGTTTTGCCCTGTTTTTTTCCTTCCAATGTTTACTCAGAAAATGGTTTTTACGGGAAAACTCGAGTTTCTGGCAACAAAGAAACATTGAAAACACTGAATAAACAACAAAATGTAACCTAATTAGTGGCAATGAATTGATAACACGATGAATGAATGGGTTTTTGGGATAAAAAATGGTTCAAATTATTCATGTAATAACTTGCATGTTGATTGATTGTTTACTTTTGTTTACTTTGGATTACATTTCAATTGATTGTACAAAAAAATGTTTCGCTTTTTACTTTCCACATTTTAAATATCAATCATTTTTCCATGCAAAAACTCTATTTTTGAATCTCTTTCTCGAACTCTACTTCATCTATAAAAAGTTTAATATTATTCATGTTTTGCTTTTCATATGATTGAGTGCAAAGGTTGACTAATTATTTGCAAAATTGAATGAAAAGTTATACATTATTGGAACGTTGATAGAGCGAAATGGAAAATGAATCTTTGATCTTTGATTTGATCTCGTTATGTATTACATTTGAATGGGATGTCATCGAAAAGAGAAGCCAAATGCCAAAGCTGCAGAGCTGGAGCAGTTTAACTAAAGTCAGAATAGATACAACTCAAAAATCGAATTTCTTCTTCATTGATCGCGTCCATATGCTTAACCTGGATTGATGAAATCATTAAACTAACCCAAATCATTCGAAATAATGTCTTTTATGATTGGAAAACTCATTTTCTCTCAAAAATGAATCAATTTTATTGAATAGTTGAATCCAAGTTAATAAATTCTAACTACCGTTCATCTTCGATTTTAACTCTAAAGATCCTTATCCGAGTTGTCATAATCTGCTCCAAATTAGTTATTTTTGCACGAATCCTAAAAAGTGAAAGGTTATATACATTACAAAGGGATGATGGGACACCAAGAATAATCACAATATAATCATCAGAGCAAAGCAAAGATTTTTACTTGTCTTAGCCATTTCGCGAATTCCCTTTTTGGCATTCTTGAGGTGAAACTACGTCAAGCTCGATATATTATGGTTAAATATTGGGACATGATTGAAGTGGATTAATGGTGTTTATTTAAATTCAATTTTCGCTTCATTTACAGACAATTTTTATAATATCTCGGCGATTTCAATGCCAATGCAATGCAATATCACAAATACGCATATATTTTATGAGCAAATCCCGATTGTGAGGCCTCTAAAGATCTAACCCCTCAAGTTTTGTCTCCAAATCGCATATCTATACCAAGTTTTAACAGCTGCTTGATTTTGTTTTGACATCGTCTCTTCAAGATGCTGAAATGAATATCGATAAAATGCCTGATAACTGTTTATTAAAACAACCCAAAAGTTTGTGCACATTGCATTTTGTTCTTCGTCAGAAAACTCGATTGCAAGAAATCAGAAAGTTAATGCTGAATACGGGTAACCCAAGAAAATCTTCGATAACTATTCATAGTTTTTGGTTTTTATACGTATAATGCATTCGCTACATGTGTGTCTCTATCTTGTAACATCATAACTCAAACCAAGTCAAAATAAAATTCTAACACAACTAATCGATATCACTGTAACATTTATACGAGCTCATTCGGCGAAAGTTGCAAGAATTGAAGCGAATACTATCAGTTGAAATGTCACCTATTGTACCGAAACCATTGACGCTAGTCAGGGTTCAGTTCAGGGCTTTAATTGCCGATAAAGCTTGCAAGCTTTTAAGATAATCAGTAAACAATCAATTAGAATCGTTTGAAAATTTTCAGAAAATGATTCCTTCAGTTAACTGAATTCAGAAGTCAGGAAAATGTTGAGTTATTAGTTGGAAATTTGTCTACCGAATAAACTATCATGATTCAAGTTGATGCATAAACTTGAATCAGATAATGTTTTAAGTTAAGACTATTACAGTGAATGAAAAGTTTGTATCAAGATTTGGTTGAACATTATATTCTTATCGAGAATAAGATTTTTCTCTGTTTCTTCTTTTCTTTTCTTCTTCAAATTGTATTTTTCATGATTTGATTAGTTAACTTGACTGAACTTTTTGCTCTTATTTACCATTATTCAACTCTTAATCAGATTGTGTTGAAATCGCAAAGAAAATATTCAATATTTTTCCATCCAAACTCGACATTTTCAGTTTAAATAATTCATTACCAATAAGCTTATTGCTCTTTATTATCATCATTATCAATGTATTAAAAGTGAAGAAAAGGAAAACTATTTTTTCGTCTTTACCATTTTTCTTTTTACAGGTTCATCCAGTTTCATGATTACATGACAATGTTGAGATTAATGTTGAATTAAATCAGATTTATTCCCAAGAAGAAGTGAAAAAAATGAAAAGAAAAGTTTTACTTTTGAAAATCACAGTTGTAAAGATGAACAATTGCAAAGACTTTGATTGAAGATTTTCGTGTTTTTATGTTTGTTTCATGCTTTTTTCTGATTACATTTCAAGTGCAATATTCAAATGGGAAAACTATAAGATATTTCAAGACTAAAGACATTGGAATAATGATAACTCATGTAAGAAATGAACTAAAAAAAGTAAACGTAAAACAACATATTTCATTGAACTAATCTGACAAGGTTAACAAGCATAAATACTCAAGATAAATATCATCATTAATTTGTATTATCACGAGTTTAACATTCAAATTGTCAAAATGAAAGTTCATATTAAAGAGTTTATCAATTATCGGATTTGGCACAAAAAACATTTCGAGTCATTTCGAGATGAAAGAGCAAATTCCATTACATGAAACAGAAATGGTTTTAGAATCGTTTTTGTCTGAAACATTCGATTACAAGCTGAGTTTCAACCCTTTATTGTTCATCGAGTCTTTAAAATTTTTCGTCGAGTTCTCAGTGATTTTCGAATGAACTTTCGACTTGTTTTCTGTTCTTTTTCCAGAAACTTTTTCGCCTGATTAATTGATCTAAATGATCGATTATCGAAGCTAGTTTTGATCAAGATTGACGAAAGTTTGATTGATTTTTTTCTCTGTTAATCTTTTGTTTCAATTCCATGAAATGTGTTTCTTCATTTTTCATTTTGCTTGATATTCCAATGAACCAAATCGACATTTAGATGGCATTTCATGATAGGAATTTATGGATAAGTCAAAAACTCTGATGAATTTTTTCCTCTTTTTCTTTGCGAGCTCAATTTAAGTGCGAAAAGTAAATCGCTTAGATTTTCCATTGAAAATAATTCCTTGCTTGATAATGAACTGGATGAACAGATTATCATGAATCGAATTTTCTCCAAAAGTAAAATTCTCAATTTTTCATTCTTAATTCTCATATTTTTAATCAAATGAAACAATAAAAAAGTTCAGAAAAACGAACAAAAAAATCCTCGGATGTGAAAATTATTAGCATTTTGTTCAGACACTTTGAATAATTGTGAATAAAAATGTATCGAGTTGAGATTTTTGGTGATAAAAAGATTTCAATAGAAGTTCGTAAATTCCAAGTTGGGAATTGGGAAAGGATTGAATTTTCATGGCAATATTTGACTTTGAACATTTGATTGATTCTTTTTTCTGTTCAGAACTTTACATCGATGAATGTTTTGTCTCGTCAACAAAAGTTTAATGGTTACTTTATAACGATTTATCGTTGGCAAATAGACAATTGAAGTGGCTAAATGAGCAAATATTTGATTAAACGTTTAATGAGAAGAGAAACAAATGGAAATATTAAAAGAACGAAAATGGTAAACATTTTCATGGAAACTTGATTCATTGAAGAATCCATGAATTTAACAAAAGATGAAACATAATAACATGGTTAGTTCAAGTTTCTTTGAACCGGAAAACGATTATCATTATTAATATGAGAAGATTAATTTCCGGTTAATAACAAAGGTGCAAGGAATGGCGTCAATGATGCAAATTGACTGATTGAACAATCTTGTGTTTTATTCATTTTTCATGGTAAAGTTCATTGATTGAAATCGATTTGTTTCTAAATCGACTTTGGATTAATGATGATATAATGTCATGAGCTTTGAATCGGTTTTTACTTTGAATTGATTATTTCATGGGAATAAGATGAGAGACTTTTATTGTTGCATTGTTATCAGTTCACATTGAGTAATGAACTTACCTTGTAAGGACGATAATGTTGAGTACATTGGCAACTAAACCGAAAAGGCAAACAACCAAACTCAGGTAACCATGGATTGGAGCATAAAATTCCTTGAAATTAAAGAATATCGTTTCAGTAAAAGTTTCATTGAAATCCAGGTATGAGGATGGATAATCCGAGTAATTAAGAAAAGGTGATTCCGATAATGGTTTATCCATTTGGCTAGAGTATGACAACTGTTAATCGACACAGATTAAAGGTGATTTTATCGACACTTTGAAAACACTCATTGAACGATTGAACATTTTTTTTTCGTTTTTTTCAATTCTTTTTCACTTTTCACCTATTTTTTAAGTCAATTCATGCAATTCATTTGGCGACAATCACAATTTTTAAACTTGATTCATTTCGTTTAATTACATTTCCAATGGTAATTATGATGATAAGTTTGATAATGAGTAGAGATTTTCATTAGTTAATTAACTTTTTTGTGGAAAATTGTTTCTTGTTCATTTTTTATGTTCAATTCATTGCAACGAAAATTCAGTTTGGACAGTTTGGTTTTTCGCTGTTTTACATTAACTTGATCAATGCTGCTCACATTATTGACACTCTCACAACTAAAGTTACTAACTTTATACACTTGAGCCAACTAATATCATAACTCCTTGCTTTTCAATTTTAAGTGCAATTCCCTGGATTGGTCTGCCATCTATTGACTTTGAACTCTACTTTCAACTTGTTACAAGTGAAGCTAACAGTTGTGCTGCCATCTAGTGTTAGTCGAGTATGAATAATCGATCAGGTATCGATTATTCGTTGATAATCGATTTTTTAGACTTTTTCGGTGCGAGATTTGAACGTTCGAATTTTCCCACTTTTTCGCTCTTTCTTTTCCTCTTTGTAATCTTTCTCGTCTTTCTGTTGCTGCATCAGCAATGCTGATATTAAAAATCGATCGTTTGAGAAAAATCGATTAAAATCGTTCGAAAGATTTTACTGCCATCTGTTAGAACAGCTATTAGCTAATACATGCTTAAACACTTCTTGTTTTTGTTTTGATTTCTTGCACTTATAATTATCAAAGATCCATAGTTGATTACATCAATTTGATTGTTCGATTGCTCATTCAATATTGTTTATTTTTATGCATAAATGATAATATACTGACTCAAGACATAAGATTGAATAACGAGCTGCTGTTAACGGTAGAATGAAAACCAAAAAACTGGTAATTCTGGTAATTTTTTGGTTCTCAACCTTTTTTTGTCTGTCACCGATTAACAAATTCACATAGGTGTACCTGACCTTTTCTTAACCTGAATTTAACTAAAAAATTCCAGATAATTCAACTCTTATCATTGCTTCCTTTCTTGCTAATTATTAATCATTAGAGTTGGATTTCCTTTTAAAGGTTGATGATTCCATTGGCTATTAATAGCTCTATGAGATTTTATTGCTAATTAATCGTTCCATTAGTGTATATATATTTAGATGCGTTCAATTGATGAATACTTTTCTTCAAATCTGATTCTGGTTCCACCAAAATTGGTTCAAAACTGTAAATGTTTTTGAATCATTCCGATCGTTAATGGTTACATTTGGTTTTGTTAGATGTCACTAACGGCTCAAGTATTAATGGGTGTGGTAACCAGAAGCAGCTTTGTAGAAGCAAAGAGAAAAGAGCAAAAGCTGGCAACAAGATGAGATTAAATGTTTAGTGAGAAGCCATCAACATGATCTCAACTTTAGATGGCAGCTTAAATTGATATGAAATTTGGGTTTCATCAATTTTCTATTACTGTTTATAAATTGTGTGCTCATTAGGATTTAATTTCTATATTTTATTATTATAATCGACTCATCATGGAAACATTATGCCATCTAATTGTGTAAACAGGATAATCAGTTGTTTTTAATTGTTACATTACCAGTTTTCCCTTTTTGTGTCTAGCAGTTACGCCATCTTAAAGAGTCTTCTGGTTTTCCCTGTTGATGGCTATTCTTTCTCTCTTTTTATGCTCTGTTTTTATCATTTGACAGTGGAAATGGAATCAATATTTACCTTTCTTTTTTAGTTTTCAATTGAATCACTTTTTTTAATCATGTATCAATGGTGATATTAATTTTATCAATATCTCTCTTTGTGTCAACCTGTGTCAATCAATGAGCCTTCTTCATCAAGTTTACAGCCGTTTCAACCAACAGGATCATCTTTACCAGGATCCTGATCCTTACCACCATCCACCAGATAAACAGCATCACAAGCACTATAAACACCAGAAGACGGATCATATTGATCAGTCTTCATCCAATCAACATTATCGTCATCAAAAGTATCATCATCCACATAATCAGCGACATGACCTTTGTCATCATCACCCTCATAAGTCTAGCAAACCATCTACATCTACTTTAAATAACCATCATCTGCATAATCATTGTCGCCATTTTCAACCATTAATTTTCATGTTTTCTCTTGTATATATTGTGATTATTTTCTCAACTAGGCTTGTTTTATTTGTAGATTGTCAACCTAGAACAATACCAGCAACCAATAGTTCTTATGCCGCTTTTGAGGATGTAAATAATATTAAATTTAATCATTTAACCGTCAATGATTATACTGGTCAAGTTTATATTGGAGCTGTTAATAGGATATACCAGCTCAACTCTAATTTACGTCTTGAAACCTCTGTAGAGATGGGACCCCGACCTGATTCAGCTGAATGTCCAGTTACCCGTAATTGTCCAGGTATCCGTTTAAAGCCAACAAACTATTGGAATAAAGCTCTTGTCATTGATTATCCTAAAAGTCAACTAATTTCCTGTGGCAGTCTGTTTCAAGGTGTATGCTCAGTCCATAGATCAGAAAACATTTCCATACACGAGACACCAGCAAATGAATCTGTGGTGGCCAACAATGCGACCGCTTCTACGGTTGCCTTTATCGCACCCGGACCTTCAAGTCTAACTCGAATGCATGTTCTCTATGTTGGTGTTTCCTACACTGGCAATGGTCCTTATGGTTCAGATGTGCCCACAGTTTCAAGTCGATCCCTAGACTCATCCAACATGTTTCTTGTCGCTGCCACCGGTGTAACAACAGGAACCCGTTTACTGGTAAACTCGTTGGCTCGAGATCGTTATCCCATAAGCTATGTTTACGGTTTCTCTTACCAAGGCTTCTCATATTTTGTCACATTTCAAAAGAAAACCAGCGAATCACCGAAACCCTTTATATCTAAACTTGTTCGCATCTGTCAAAAAGATCTCCATTATTATTCTTACACTGAAGTTCCCTTGGTCTGTAAATCTGATGAACACGATTATAATTTGGCCCAAGCAGCTTACGTTGGAAATCCTGGTTCCGAACTGGCTGTTTCATTGGGCATCACTGCCCAGGATAAAGTTTTATTTGTAGTTTTTGCCAAATCACTGGATAAAGGTGATGTTTACAATCAACCCGATACTAAATCAGCTCTCTGTGTTTATGCCTTATCCGCTGTCCATCGGAAATTCACTCAAAATATTCAACATTGTTTCAATGGAAACGGAAACCAAGGACTTGATTTTGTCAATCCAACCAAAGATTGTGAACTAACTGTAAGTCTTATCCACTCCTAATCTTGTTTATGTCCGTTTATCCTCATTTTTCTTCCTATTCTCATATTCTTCCTTGATTATCCTCTATCTCTCTCATTTCCAATCATAGTTTGCTTTACGCTTTCTTTACCTTTTTGCTCTATTTGCTTTTCAATGTTTGCAAAAAGCAAGCACCAAGTTTTTACTTTAGTTTCCCTTATTCTTTCTTCCTCTTCTTCCATCCTCTTTCGTCGGTCAGTGTGTTTGTTGACCGACAATTATCACAGCAACCAAACACTAACCAAACCAACAACGACAACCCAGCTTTGAGCCATATGTTTGTAAACCCAAATTATTGACATTCAATAATGATTAAAAAAATATGCTAAAGGATGCAGATTATCCTTGTAAAAAGTCTCATTCCTCTTCTCGCATTTCGCTCTGGGTGTGCTTTCTAGACCCGTAAAAAAAGAGCCTGAAAAACATTGACTCTTTTTTTACCCAACATAACCTTTTCCCTTTCCTCATTCTTTCTCTTACCAGTTTTATCTTTCTCTATGGGGCTTCTTATTCTCATCTTTCCATCCTCCTCATCTCATCGTCATTTCTCTTTCCCATGAAGATACATTAGATAGTTTCACCATTTAAACCATTAACTTTTACCAACAACTTTCAGTGGCCAGGCACTTTCACTCGACACCAACTTTATTTCATTTCAAATCTTCACAATCTACTGAAATTAAAAATCAACTCCAATAGATATAATTTTCATTATCAAACGCTGAACATTTCCGTTTATTTAACCCAAACTATTAATTTCAATTTAATTTTCCTGTGGCAATAAAGCCATTTGTCTTCATCTGCAAATAGTTTCTTCATTCATCTTTTTACGCTCCTCAGTAATGTCCCTCTTTTGCGTCCTCTTTTCTCGTCCTCAACATTCAATATTTTAAGACTTGAATCATTTTCCTTTTCTCATGTTTTCCTTTAAATTTAACGCGTCAATCAGTTTTGCCCTTTATTGCTATTTACCGAGAACAACTTTGATTTATTAAATGCATTTCTTTTTACAGTATCGTTAACTTGATTGTCTTGCTTACCATTTCTTATTCCTCTACTTTTTCACTTTGATTTTTCTTCATTTTTTTCTTCTCTTCTTCCCTTCTTCCTCAATAATATTCAGGTTGTTAGTTTGCATTATTATGCTTTTTACTGCTTCATGTATGTAATCAATTTAACTGTATCGTTATCCTGAATTCAATGATTGCTTTCCTAAATCATTTGCCTTTCCTTTTAATAGATTTTTGCCATTTTCGTTTTTTTCGCTTCTTCTGTTTCACCTTTCTATATTATATCATTATTGCCATGAAATGAAACAAAGATGCTCTCAATTAACACCGGAAAAATTGTTGCCAAAAAACAGTAACTCACTAACTTTAGTAATTTGCTATTAACTATCCGCATCATCATCATAATCATCACCATTCCTTTGCAAGTATACAAAGTATTTATGCTATTACTCCCTGTGTATGTGCAAAGGTGTAAATTGATCAATTGATCTTTAATTATCTCTTAATGGTTTTTATGCTCTTTTACGTTCAACTTTACGTTACAAAAAGAGCCTTAAGAAGTGCTCTTACTGTTCCATTTAGTACAATCAATTCTCAAGATATTCAACTTTATTTAGTTAGGTTAATAAGATTTTTACATAACAAGGTTAACCCATTGTTTGTCATTATTCAACTTGTTACTGTTTGTACCAGAATAACCAGAAACTGTATTGCAAGATCTAATGTGATGAAGAAAAAATCAAAGACAATTACAGTTAATGTTATAAAATAAGTTTGCTATTAGACTTTCATTGTAACATTTAATGTTTACCAGAAAATGAAGAGAAACAAAAACCCAAAAAATAGAATCTTGGGTTAAGGTAAAATTTGAGGAAATTTTCAAGGAACGATCATGAAATGTCAGAATTAGTTTGTTGGTAAATAATGATGAAATGATAATAGTTTTTCAATGTTTTGTTTCATCTTTGGAAATGATTCTTTTGTTTTAAATGAAGTTTTTGTTGAAAAGTTGATGTTGGGTTTCACTCGTATTTCATAGTCAGTAATTATCTTTCAATGTCCATGGTTTTCATCATATCGACCCTTCTACTTGGTCAATACTGATTGAATTTAATTACTTACAAGGATCACATTAAGCTTTACTTTTACCTCCATCAAACTCCATCTTCACTCTCATCTTCTTCCTCCTTTTCTCTCTTTTATTTTCATTGCTTTTACTTTTTTTTCATCATTTCTCTTCCATTTACTCTGCAACCTTTTTCCTCCAATCTCGTGTAATCTTTCATCCAAGAGAAAGATGAAACCTTCTCTAGGGAAGAAAAAGAAGATGAAAGTAATCAAAAAGAAGACGATGAAGATGATGAAAATGAAGTTGGAATGGAAGAGAGAGAGAAAGAGAAGAAAAAAGTAGCAAGAAAATGAATAAAAGAAACTCCAAGCTTAGAGATTTATTTGCCTAAAAATGATGAAAGTTACAAGAAACATTATGATCTATTTTCATGATTATGATGAACTTGATCATCTTTGCCTTTTCTTTTCTTCCCTTTCCAATGTTGAAACTAGGAAATGAATAAAAGCATTATCAGCTCTCTCCTTCATGAGACTTTTTAAAGGTTTACCTTCACGGAACGAGAAAAACATCAGAAAAGGATGATGAGGATGAAAACAGAAGTTGAAATGAAATTTCCTTCTTCACAATTCTTAGCTATTTTTTTATTGATCCTCCATGACTTATATATTTTACTCCATTTTCATTGTACATGTTACTCCATTTCATAAATGTCACCATCGATAATAATCACTGATGTCTCTTTCTAATTCACTTTCTTTTTCTTCTTGTCTTCTCATTATCTTCATCCTTTTACCATCCAATTATTTTGGCTGCCTTTTTGACTGTTTTCCCATTTCATTATTTGCTTCAAATAATGTTCAACTTAATCCATCTACGAATTGCTTTTCACTCAACTTCATGCCATTGTTTTGGGTTACCACAAATACCACTTCTAACCGGACATTAACTTTTACTCATCACTTGTGATATTACCTTCATGACATTATTGTGGTTCATGATAATGTTGAAACCTCTTTTTTTGCCATTTGATGGATCATCATTTAATCTGCAAAATTTGCATCACTTTGATTGCTAATCATGATTAACAGCAAGTGCAAATAAATGATGATTTCTGTGGATTAGATGTAAACACTCCTCTTGGTGGAACCATGCCCATTGAAGCTTCACCAGCTATCACTTATCACAATGTGCTGCTTACCTCGGTTGCAGCCACCTCAACTCATGATTATACGGTTGCCTTTTTGGGCACCTCAACGGGTTACCTTAAGAAGACGGTTGTTGAAACAGTTACCTCGGCCTTTGAATATGCGACTTTACTCATTGATGAAGGAAGTGCCATTAATAGTGACATGCTTTTCTCATCAACCAATAAAAATTATCTTTATGTGATGACAGAGAAAAGGGTTACCATGCTTAAAGTTCAAGAGTGTCAAATTTATCGAACCTGTTCAGAGTGTTTGGGTGCTCGTGATCCCTACTGTGGTTGGTGTTCATTGGAAAATAAATGCTCTCTGAGAAGTGATTGTGCTGAAGCTGCAGCCGATCCACTTTACTGGTTATCCTACAAGTCGGGCAAGTGTACAACCATTACCCACGTCAGTCCAGCTCAACTTCAACGAACCACAACCCGAACATTGGGACTCTTTATCGACAATTTACCCGCCTTGGATGGACAATTTTTTTGTGCTTTCACTGCATTCGGTAAAACTCGGATAACCAATGCAACACGTTCAGTTCATGGTATCAACTGTCCAACTCCACCAACCGATACTTTACCTCAAATACCTCCTGGAAGTCACCATTTTACTGCTAAACTTTCCGTTCGAATGAAAACTGGACCCGATTTTGTAGCAACCAATTTTACCTTTTACGATTGCAGCTCCTACCTAAGCTGTACTCAATGTGTTTCCTCACCTTTTCCCTGTGATTGGTGTGTCGGTGGTCACCGGTGTACCCATGATACAGGGGAAAACTGTCGAAATGACATTCTTGTCACTGGACTTCGATCCATTGGTCCAAGTATACGTTCTGGTCCTGGATTTTGTCCTCGAGTCAATGCTACTTCTGCCATTTCAAGTGAAGTGTTGGCACCTTCTGGCAGTTCCCAACGAATCCAAGTAAAGGTTGAAAATATTCCACAATTTATCGTTTCAACTCGCTTCATCTGTCAGTTCAATATTGAGGGACGTGTTAAACAAGTTCCTGCTCAGCTTCTTGGTGATACAATTTATTGTGATCAAATGAAATTCCAATACTCAACAAATGCTCCCAACATAACGGCTGCCTTTGCAGTCATCTGGGATGGAGCAAAGCCACTCGATAATCCACAAAATATTCACGGTAAGTCGATTTAATCTAATCCCAAAAAACCCAGACAACCTTTTACATTCATTAATTATTATAGATTGAAATCAACATGAAAATTATACCCTCATTACCATCATCTTTTCAACATTCCCTCAACATTGTCATCGTTGAACAAAAAGAGCTTTGATTCATGTCTATTTTGAATAACTGTCGCTTCCAGTTGCCATTTATCAACTCAGTTTACCCAAAATATTTACATTTTTGTACCGTTCACATTCTGTGTGTCTTTAGGGCGTCAGTTAACTGTACGACAAGCTGTCAAGAGAAGAGGCAAAATCATGCATAAACTGTAAAGGCACGCACCCTTAAACGCAACCACGAGTTATATCACAAATTACCTTAATCTTTCCCTAATCTTTGATCTTGTCTCATGAAAAGAATCTCTTTGAGAGAAAAGAGAAACAAAAAATTCTTCCCTTTTTTCACTCTTTCTCTCGTTGATTATAAACGTTAATAATAATGATGTAGATTCACAGAAAAGACCAACCTTAAAATGAAAGTTTCCCCATGTTATTGACCTGGCCCTACCTTTTTTCGTGCCATTCCTCTTAATTGAAGTCTATCCAAGGATGAACATTGTCTTAATAACATATATTTTTTTCTCTCTTTTCTCTCTTCTCTTAATTATTACTTTTCGATTAAATCATCATTGGTCCATAAACAACAGTCATTGTCTATCAATGTCAAGGAATGGCTGATAATTGTGGCATGTGCCTGGAGTTGCCTGATAAATACAACTGTGGCTGGTGCCATGATCAGTGTGATGTTGAAGAGAAGTGCACTGAACGCGCCAAAGACAACCAACTGGCTTGGCTTAATAAACAGCAAACTTGCCCTGATCCACAGATCGTCGACTTTTTCCCTAAATCGGGTCCATGGGAAGGTGGGACCAATATCACCATTGAGGGCATCAATTTGGGTCGAAACTTTGAGGACATTGGAAATGGTGTTCATGTTGCTCATGAACAGAATGGTGTTACCATTGGATTAATTAATTGTGTTCCCTTCAAGGAGCGTTATGTGAAAACATCTAGAATCACTTGTCAAATTCGTGAGCCCAACATAACCCGGGTCATGGCCAATTCAATTGCTGGACCTGTGGTGGTTAAAGTTCAAAATGATTACACGGCCAAGTCGAGTGAATATTTTCACTTTGTGTCTCCTCTTATAACATCCATTGATCCCATTTCGGGCCCCAAATCGGGTGGAACTCGACTCAAGATTTGGGGTCTCCACATGAATGCCGGTTCTTCCGTTTCAGCCTACCTTGGTGATCTTCCTTGTGAGGTCATTTCTCGTGATCAAAATCTTGTAGAGTGCATGACTTCGGCTCGAGTTGAACCCGGTGAGGAACGGGTTCGCGTCAAGTTTGACTATGGAGTGAGAACCTTTGAATCATATCATTTCTCGTATGTTCCCGATCCAACCATATCAACCGTTGAATCTGGTTCAGGTCAAAAGTATGTTCCAAAAGGTATTCCATCGGGTGGAATTCGTATTTTTGTTAAAGGAACTCACCTTAAATCTGTTCGCAATCCAATGCTCTACGTTGAAGTGGACGGTGTTAAATATAATAGTACGTGTGTCGCTGAAACTGATGCCGACATGAAGTGTAAAAGTCCATCTGTTCCATTGGATAAGATTAAATTTTCCGATTCAGATGATTATCTTGAGCTTCATTATGGGTTCATCATGGATGCAGTTCCTTCCGTCATGGATTTAACCAAACGCCGTTACAATCCATTCACCAAATTTCGCATGTTCCGTAATCCAGAATATCATAACTTCAATGAACCAAAGAGGATCAAATATTACAAATCAGACTACTTAACTATTAATGTAAGTAAAAAACTTTTCTTCTTCTTCTTCTTTTCTTCTTCTCTTCATCTTCTCCTGCTTCAAGATTATCCGTCACGCAGGTTTACTCACCCTTCTCTCACCCTCCCCTGGTTCAGTGTTTTAATTCATTTAATGTAACCAAAAATGTTGATTGCATGAAAAACAGGGAGAAAGAGTGAATCATTTTTCCACTTCTTCCACTTAACCATTTCATGTGCATTTGCTGTTAGATAACATTAAGGTAAAATGAGACACAATGAGGCTTGATGAGGATTCTCATTATCTTAAGATTAAAGTAAGAGTATTATCATCATCATCATCAACAACAACAGCAGTTGCATTAAGAATACAGATTCACCGAAAAAAAAGGGTAAAGAAAAGGTTAAATGTGAATTAGAAGCTATTAACTTTATTAAGATAGCTTCAGTTTGAAACCTTGAAACTCTCAGATTTTATCGTAAACTCTTATTTATATGTCACTCTAAATGCATTCACTTGCATTTCTATAGTTTCTTAGCACTTTTTACCATTCATTTCCCTCTTGATCCTTTCCTCATCCTCTCCTACTTACCCTTCAATCCTGCAAAAGTTTTAATTAGATTTGTCTATTGAATAGGTCATCATGATTCCTTAAACTCAATTCTTTCTGTTTACTTTTCCAGTTAACAAATTATCAAATTATTTTCGATAAACAAATTATATCCGTAAATGATGGCAAACCTTGTTTGTTACCTTCCTGCCTTCATCCCTTTACCTTCAGTAGCAATTGTAAAGAGTACTTGATGACTTTGAAAAAGCATCCGAATGTTGATATTGTCAGATGAAAGTATAAAGACAAACAAACAAACCTTTTCTGTTACCTTTTGTCAACTTAATGTCATCTTTTCGTTTTTTACCTTCTTTTCATCTAAAGTGATAACTAAGGATGAAAGGTGTATAATGGTCCAATGATAGCAACTTTTCATCCTTTCAAATATTAAATGAAAAAGTTTCTTCTTCATCCTTTTTTATCTCCAACTCTTTACTCTTCATTGGGCTTTCCATGAATTCAACATTTCTTTCATAATCTTTATCATCTTTCTCATCCTTCCTATTCCTGCGTCGCCTTATATCAAAGTGATTATTTATTTATTAGAAATGAAATAAATAGCTGTTGAGATTGCATGAGTTGAATAAGTTTCATTAGATGAATGGAGGTTGATATTGAGACAACAATGAGAAATGGTGAAAAATTGTGAACACTTGAATCGTTTTTACTTGTTAACAGTCAATTATGACAAAACTATTAACGTTTCCCTAACAATAACTTTTCATTGATTAAACGTTTACCTTTTATCAAAGTTGTGATTTAATATTTGCTCTCTTATTAGCTTATTCATGCAATTCAATTTGAAATGATCAATACTCGTGAGAAGATGTTAATTGTTGTGAATGGTAAATCAATTGAATGTTTGCTCGTTTGGTCAGTGTAACAGTCTAACAATGGCTATTATTAATTTGACCAATCAAGTAACAAAATCAATTTGTGACTTTACCTTTTCAACTTGAACTCTCTTGACCAACATGAGTGTCTCCCATAAGATTTAAGTAAATAACTGTAACAATTTAATTTTCATTGTTCCAACAATTCCAACATGATTAGATCTATTCACTCATCATTACCATTCAACCCATTTTTATCTGCAAACAATCCCAATTCAATCCAATTAACATCAATCCTTTTTGTCCTTTTCCTTCCAATTTATTCTTCTTCCTCCTCCTCCTCCATCTTTCCATCCTCATCCTCCTTTACATCATCAAACCCGATCCTCAGTCTTGACTTTTTTCCCCTTAATATGAAAGTTCTGTAAATGATGGCTTTTGATTATTAACCAAATGATTAAAAACATCTGATAACCATTTCTCTCAACATTGAATATTCCTTAATCACAATTAAATGTGTTGAATCAAAAATTAGTGGGCATTGATTTATGTCACTTAAAGTACTAACAAATTCATAAGATTCCTCTGTTAGGGTGGCAAAAATGTTATCACTTATTCACTTGCCTTTTCACTTGCCACCATCATGATTGAATTGTGAGAATATTTTTCCATCTCTTAATTGAAAAATATAATATATTATGCTGTGCAAAGTGAAAGATATTTTCATCATAATTTTCACTCATTCAACTTGCTCTTCAGGACATATCATTTTGCATTCCCATACTTCATTACTTATGCCTTTTCCCTTCTTCCTTCAACATTTCACTCTGTCTCCTTCATTTCTTTTCTTACCTTTTCTTTTCTTCTTCCCTTCACCATCATTATCTCCATCCTCATCATCATCATTATCATTTCTCCATATTATTATCAAAAGTAGAAAAAAAGGAAAAAAGAAGAAGAAAAAAATTCTGTTTATCCTAAATTTCGTTGAAATTTATTTCTTTTCAAGAAGAAGATTTTTTTCTTCTAGTTTGGGTTAACTCAATACTTGATCCTTCTCTTGATGCTAGTTCATGAAAAATTGTTACTCATGGATCCACACATGAGATGAATGAATTTCAAAGGGAATCAAGCCTTAAGGCCATTTTATCCAAATGAAGAAAAAAAAAGATACGCCCAATTCATAATCAATATTTTGCTTCTCTCAAACCTGCCAATCTCCTTTTCTCATCTTCTCATCCTCTCATCTTTTATGTCTATCCTCAATAATCTTGTAAGATTATACAGTTTGATGTTAAGTATCATGCATGTTATATTAAATATTTCATTTTGTTTCTTCTTCTTGCAAAGGAAAGAAACAAGAAAAGCGATTCTGATTCATCTCATGATGGCCAAAGAGTAAAATGTTCATCTGTTTTTGTTTCCTTGTAAACCTCTTGAAATGCTATTATCTTTATGTTAACATGCTAATATAATGATGACCATTTTGCATTTATTGCCCTTTACAGACTTTCCCATTTCTGCCATTTCTTCCCCATCTTCAGCCATTTCCTCTCCCACTCTTGTTCACTCTCACTTGATCACTTTGATCCATCTTTAATTACATTTACCCTTTGTCTTGATTTGATTGATGACTAAACCTGATTCAATGTAATTTGCCCTTTGTTATTCAATCGTCAATCGTTTAAACAATTTTTACGATTGCAAAAGATTCCAATTGATTTAAATTTCAAATTTGATTGATTTTCTTGATCGATATACTTTTCCCTTTTGTTTCCTAAATGATTATACAAAATGATGAAAACAAATATCTTTTTATATTCATTTTCATCATTTCCATGTTTGCAATTGAAACAAAAAAAAGTTCCATTACAGGCTTATCTGTGTCATTAATTTTTCCAATTTAACCTCATCATTTGTAATTTTTTGATTATCCCTTTCAATTCCCTGTTAACACATTTTACATTCATAAGCTTGGAACAGCTTTAGTCATTTTCTCATTAACCATGTAAATCAAGAACCACTGATAGTTACGCCTCTTTGTAACAACCTTATTAATCTTACCTAAAGAGTGCTCAAGGGAAAGCACAGAAACTTGTAAAATGATGATCCAGGATGAGTGGAAAAGGCAGTGAAAACGCAAGAAAATCGATTAAATTTTATTATTATTGCCAATTGAATAATTCATTGCAACTCTCATGTTAATTATTTGGCGTACTTTTATACAAAGGTTGATGGCTTTTCTCATTTTATATGAGAAACGGTTTCATTGCAATTGTCCAATTGTTTTCATTTCTCTGTCAACCTTTGACGATCTCATGTAATATTGTCACTGAGATATTGAAACAAATATTGTTGGATTGACACAAAAAGCAACCAAAAACAAATGAAACTCTGTTGGGCGAAAAAAGAAAAAATCAATTCTCTAATTCAGCCTTACATCTTTACTGTGTTTTGTTTTTCAATCTCATTCAGTTTCATTGAGTATTTTTCTGGTTACTTTTTTGTTTGTTTGTTTGTTCACTTTTCTTACCTTTTTTGTTGTATATTATTCTTGTAAGATGAAAATGATGATAAATCGGATGAGGAAGAAAAAAAGGAGAATTGAAAGAGAAAAGGGAAAAAATTTTTATTCCATTTTGATTGCCATTGATCAATTGTAATGTGCTCCTAGGATTTGCTTTGATTGAGGGTTTGGAGAGCAGATAAAGAAGCCAGTTGAAGAGAAAGGATCGTGAAGATAAAGAGAGACAGAGGATGAGAAAAAAAGGAAAGATGAAAGGAATGAAGAAGATGCTAAGTTAAATTGATAGATTCACCAGAAAAAAAAGAAACCAAGAGAAGTGTTTTTCAACTTTCTTTAAGGTTGTTATTTCCTTACAATGTGATTACAATGAAAGGAAAAATAGTCGACAAGGAAAAACTTTCTAGACTTGCTTTTCACACATAACAAATATATATATTACGAGTGTGTATTTGATTGTACAAGGAAGCAAAAATTTGGAGAAGAAAAAAATGGAACCAGAAAAAAAGTATAACATGTATTTCATCTTTCAAGTTTACTTTTCGTTTTTCATCTTCTCTCATCTTCATTCTTGCCATTCTTACTCTTCTCAACAATTTTCCTATTTTTTATTCCATTACAATGTTCATGCCTTTTCGTCTCTTGAACAACCTTCCAAGTTTCAGGGTTTGGTTCATCTTTTTTCTTCTTCCCTCTGGTTAATCTGTGACTCACAGACATTATTTGATTGTTAATCATTTATGTTGCATTCACTTCAACATTTTCAGTCCGAGTTGGTCAATTTCAACTCCATTTACTAATCGCTAACTGTTTTTTTGTTGTGCTGTTAAATGAGTTGAAGATTAAGGAATCAAAATGATGGCCATTTATAATATACAAATATGATGTATGTGCACAATATCATTATTACCCTTTAGGCAGTTGAGATTAAATTGCTCTTTAGGTTACAAAGTTGATTAAGTTGAGTCTTGCTGGAAAAGTGATCTTGAAAAAAATGATTACTTCAAATTATTGAGGTTAATTTAGGCTAATCTGTTGAATCCTGGTATCATGATTATTGTCTTGCTTGCTCACTGAACGTGTCTTGCTTAATTAAGAAATTATTTTTTTCTCAAAAAGCAATTTCATTCTAAATGTTTCATTGTTATCATTAAATTTTCATGATTTTAAAAATAATCATATTCTCATGCAAACATGAAAAGTGGAAGAAAAGTGTAACCCAAATTGTCGTGAAATGTTGTTTCTTCACCTTTCAGTGTTGAACCATTTAACCAAGTATAAACATTTGGCTGAAAACACGCTCATTATGGAACAACAATTTAGCATTTCAATTAAAATTTTTGACAATTAATTTTTGCTTTTTTTGTTTCTCTCATTATCCGCTTTTTTCAGGGTAAAAATCTTGACCGAGCCTCACAAGAAGCTGATGTTGTTGTTAAAATAGGTTCAAAATATTGTGATGTTACAAGTTTATCACGATCTCAATTAACCTGTCGCCCACCAACCTCTCAGCCTCCCGCCATGAGAGCCAACGGTGAATCGGATGATGGTGCCATACCGGATGTTGTGGTCATGGTCGGTGATACCCTCAACTATACAATAGGTAAACTTAGCTATGAACGTCCACCTTCACCCGATGCCAACCTACCCAAGCCTGTGGTCATTGCCGTCATCATTGGCACCTGTATACTGATTGTCATTGTCATAGTCATTCTCATTGCCTACAAGCGTAAATCAACTGAATCTAATCGGGTTCTTCGATCAATGCAAGAACAAATGGATGTTCTTGAACTTCGCGTGGCCTCCGAGTGTAAGGAAGCCTTTGCCGAACTTCAAACTGAAATGACTGATTTAACGGGTGAAATGACGGCCACTCGAATACCTTTTCACGAATATCGTATTTATGCGATCAAAGTTTTATTTCCCAATGACAATGAGCATCCAGTTTTACGCGACATGGACCTTGATCCTGTGAGACGTGCTTCTATCGAGAAAGGCCTTAAATCTTTTGGACAATTGATTATGAACAAAACTTTTCTACTTCTCTTTATTCGAACCCTTGAATCTAATCGCAACTTTTCAATGAGAGATCGAGTCAATGTTGCCTCTTACATTATGGTTGCTCTTCAAGGTAAAATGGAGTATTGTACAGACATATTGAAGACTCTTTTAGCCGATCTCATTGAACGCTGTATGGAGGGTAAAAGTCATCCCAAGTTGCTTTTACGGCGAACCGAATCGGTGGCCGAGAAAATGTTATCCTCTTGGTTTACCTTTTTATTGTACAAATTTCTTCGCGAGTGCGCTGGTGAACCTTTATATCTACTTTATCGAGCAATTAAACAACAGGTTGACAAGGGTCCAGTTGATGCAATAACCAGTGAAGCTCGGTACAGTTTGTCCGAGGAAAAGTTGATTCGACAATCAATTGAATATAAACCGTTAACAGTTTATGTGGTAATGTCTAGTCAATCGGTTAACCAATATGTTTCCGGTATTGATCAGATTATTGGTCAAGGGGAAAACATTGAGATTCCAGTAAAAGTTCTTGATTGTGATACAATAACTCAAATTAAAGAGAAATGTCTCGATGCCATCTATCGTAATGTACCCTACTCGTTGAGACCCTCTAAAGATGATCTTGACCTTGAATGGCGTACAGGTCAAAGTGGACGTTTAATACTTTCAGATGAGGATGCAACATCCAAGTTTGACGGTGAATGGAAACGTGTCAATACTCTTGCTCATTATCGAGTCTCGGATGGAGCCTCGTTAAGTTTAGTGCCTAGACAAAGTTCAATGTACAATTTGCCCATTCTTTCCGAGAAAATGGACAAACACAAATATGAAACTTTAAACTTTGGCGGTTACAACAAAACCTGTTCACCGCCACTTTCCAGGGCAACCTCACCACTTAACCATGATCTTGAAAATGGTTACAAAATTTGGCACTTGGTTCGTCACCATGACAGTGAACAGAATAAAGATGAACGCAATAATCGCCTTGTAACGGAAATTTATTTGACCCGTTTACTTTCAACCAAGGGAACCCTGCAAAAGTTTGTCGACGATCTTTTCGAGACAATATTTTCCATAGCTAACCGAGGTTCTGCTCTTCCATTGGCCATTAAATACATGTTTGACTTTCTCGATGATCAAGCCATTAACCATGGAATCACTGATCTGGAAACTGTTCACACCTGGAAATCAAATAGTTTACCTTTACGATTTTGGGTCAATTTAATTAAAAATCCCAACTTTGTGTTTGACATTAACAAGAGCAACATAGTCGACTCTTGCCTGTCCGTTGTAGCTCAAACCTTTATGGATGCCTGCTCTAAATCGGATCATCGGCTGGGCAAAGATTCACCCTCAAGTAAACTTCTGTACGCCAAAGATATACCAATCTACAAGGATTGGGTTGAATCGTATTATCAAAACATCAAAATGATGCCTGCAATTAGTGATCAAGATATGAATTCAATGTTAGCCCAAGAATCAAGGGTAAGTTTACAATCAATTAATGTTGATTAGTTTCTCCAATGATTGCCTTCAATACACGCCTCGGTTAAACAACAAATTGCTTTGTTTCCTCAAAGCAGCCCTTTGCTTATCCCCAGAGTTTCACTGGAATTACTCTTCTCGGTGAAACCTTTCTGTCAGTTTACCTTTTTTAGACTCATTTCATCCATCAGTTGAAAAATTACTTTTCATTATTCGCTTTCATTTATCATGCATTTTTCCCTTCCACTTGGATTATGTTTTCAGACAGGAAAGCTCAAGTTTGATAGTCGTTTGTGAAAATACTTTAAACTGTTTGGTTAATCAAACAACTATTTGCATCGGTAAATATACTTCAGCCATTTCTCCATGAAAGGGATAAATGTTTCTACTGGAAATGAAGATTCCATTTATTGCTCTCGATAATTGCATTATTTTCAAGCTGACATGGAAAATGAATTTCTTTTTTTCTTTGCAAATTTACTTTTAAATTTTTACTATTGATTTTTGGTTTGCTTTTTTTCCTCATTAAGTTGGTTGTTCTTTCAAATGATGAATAAATTTTTCTCCAACAGCTTTTTCCCAAGAATGAGATTCTTTAAGGTTGACAAAAAGCATCGTTAGTTAAAGTGTGCTCAATGTTATTATTGAAGGCAATCAATCTACTCTGTTGACTTGTTTCTCATCATTGATTTAGTCAACTATTAATAACATTTCTTGTTTATTCATTTCTCTCTCGTTTACAGCTCCATGCTCATGAATTCAATACAAATGTAGCTTTACAAGAACTTTACAACTTCGCAGTCAAATATAACGACCAGGTAAGAATTTTAATCCAATTTATTGCACATTGAAAGGTAAAAAAAGAAGGCCATAATAAAGAACATCAAAAAAGAGATTAAATTATCATCAGTTTCATCAACCATTAGGATTGTAAAAAAAGGTAGCCAAACGGGTGAAGGTAAGGCAAGAATAAAAAAGATAACTTGAGGAGGATCCAAACTTTGTATGGGCAAATTGCCTAAAATTTATCGCCGCCGAAACCAGTTGAATAACCATGAAAACCAGTTGCATGATCTACCAAAAGTTTAACATTTCTGTCACTATTTGTTAGTACATAAAAGGACTAAAATTTTCAAAAATACAATACATAAAGAAGGTGAAATATGAATTAATCAATCTTCTGAACAAACCAATTCGAGTAAACGATTCGCTTATCAAAAGATTTTCATCATTTTTCAAAATTCAATTATTTCTTCATTCAAATCAAACAATGTTTCACAACTCGCTATTCAAATGCGAAAGATTAGGGTTAGTGGAATGGGTCTAAAGACAATTTCAGGGAAAATGGTTTGAAGAAGTAAATTGAAAGAATTGAATTTTCGGTCGATCGAACCTTTGTTCCTTTCGATCTTCAAATTTTACATGCATTTCTTTGCCATTTTATTTTCGACTTTTAGTATCGATTCTTATTGGTTTATCATGAAAATTTGGTTTCTGGTTTTCAAGGTATTTCGGTGTAAATTGGGTAAACTTGTATTGAGATGTTTGAGCTTTTCAGCAACTTGAGTCTCACCTACTGATGATGACCTTTAATGATGCCCATTGATGTTTCTGGCCCAAATATGTCAATCTATAATTTACTGAAGACAAAAATTTCTAATGTTTTCTCTTTGCATTTTTCTTCCATTTTCAGCTAATGTTGACTTTACAAGAAGATGAATTTTCCGTCAACCACAAACTTGCCTACAGACTGGACCAAGTTCATGCAATGATATCATAATCATCATCATTTCCATCAATCATGTCTCTCTCTCTCTCTCTCTATCTCACTGTGTATTTACATTTGACTAAAAAATACAAGCGAAAAGTTATTTATGTTAAAAACTGTTTTCAACCTTTTCTTTCACAAAAAGTGTCAATAGTTTCATTTTCATCATCCTTCAACTCAAACTCAGTTCACATTGATATTAACTTTCACTTATCCAATGGCATATATTGAGTCGAGTAAATTATCCTGTAAACTTGTGAGAAAAAGTGAAACATTCAAGTGCGATTAAAATCTTAACCGGAAAGTTAATTTCAGTTGATGAAGACTTTACAAAAGGCAAACCAATAACCGGTTATTTTGTTTATGAGATGATAATAATGATAACGTTTTGTTCACAAAACAAGGAAAAAAAAGTTATCATCATTTCACCATCAACATCATTAGCCACTTTCAATTTCAGTTCATTGGTTAATCTCATTGGCAAGAGAAGCAAAAAACGAAAAAGAAGAAGAGAAAAAAAAGTTTCAAAAAAAATCTCATTTTTCCAAGAGCTTTTAGCTGATTCAAGATGAACTGAACAACTTTTATTTCTGTTGATGAATAACATCTTCATCTTTCCTCTCTCACGATTTACCTTTCATTCATCTTGCAATTTGTTTTCTCGTTGCCATTACCAAATGATAATTACAATGGTGAGGACATTAAAAAGGTTATTTATGCACATGATGATGATAGCAATATGAATAATATGAAGAAAAGAATAAAAGAGATGAAAAAAAAATGTTATTCATTATGGATAAGAATCATTCCCTGTTCTCATGAAATTCAATACTCATTTCCATTATCATCTTACCTTTTCCATTTGCTTTTGTCGTAAATTTAATTGAAAAATGATTATCGATAAACAGCCAAATGGCGGTCAATAAGGAAACAATTGAATTATCGAGTTGAAAGATGCTCAGTTTTGGGATAAAGTTGAAGCAAAAGCATAAAAGGTTTGGGCAAAAAAGAGCAACAATTTGTTGGTAAAAAGTTTGTTTTTTTTACCATTTTTTTTTGTTCTTTCTTCCTTTTCTCTTCATGATATTATATGTCTAATGGAGAAGCAAAGAGCCCAGAGTATCTTAATCCAATAATAGAAGAAGAAGAAGAAAAAAAAGTTCGAAGGTAATAAGGTTTGGCTGCAAGGTAAAGGGACATTGAACTGTTTCATTGATTATCATTGAGTCTGTTCAATGGGTTTACTTTGGAAATGACAGAATCGATTTTATGATAAACTCTTTTACTCTCTTCCAACTCAATGGTTTACTTTCATCATCATCTTCATCATCTTGCTTCTTTATTCTTGTTCACTTTTCCCCGGGTAAGTTACACCTAATCAGAATTCAATTGAATCACAAGTCAACATTGGTTGTGAACATTTTGTGCTACTTTAACCTTCACAAATTGGCTTCATCAGACAAAATTATGAAAAGAGATGAAAAAGTGTTCATTATTCACTTTAATCGATAATTCATTACAATTTGCTGAAATTCCTTTTCCTTTTCATTTTTCCACCAAAACAATCATCAAGCCTTTTTCATAATTAACAGGAAACATTGAAATGATTCAATTTCAATTGTTGAATCTTTTTTTGTTTTGTGTTTATTTTGCCTTTAAATTTGCTTTTACCTTTACCTGAATCAATAATATTGATTTCAATGTTTCACTTTCATTAGTATTCAGTTTATGGTAAACAGAATAGAGAGAATTATCAAGTTGAAGAATCGAAAAAGAAAAATCCAATAAGAATAATAATGATGATTATAATGATGATAATGATAATAATTTGTTACTTTGTTGTGATCAAATAATTTGTTTCGTTTCTTGTATCAATTTACTGATGCAACTAATGTTATTCCTAATTTGTTATTAGATTATCATTCCCATTGAAATAGATTGATTATATCATTTTCATGTTGTCCTGTTATCATCTTCATCTTACCTCTTCCATTAAACTAATAATCTCCACTCCTTTTTAGCCTCAACATTAATATTGACTGGTTAATATTTACTTTTCAGCTACTTACATGTAACAACAACCTTTACTTCATGTGAACATTTGATTAAAGCCAACAATCAACTTGAACCTCTTCTTGAAAAGTTTCATCTCAAAGTTGACCAATAAAGTTTCATAATAAGAAAGATTACATGAAGACACACTAAAGACGCTGTTGTAGTTGACTCGAGAGAGTGTCGTCTTTAGAAGCAAAAAACATTATTCATTTGACTTTTGTTCAACTCTTCACTCGACATGCAAAAAGCGACTCAACCTTGACAATCCTTTGAGTCGACCTTTTTGAATTGGCTCATTAAAGGATTAAAGTTGAATGAGGTAACCGAAAAGTTTCTCAGGTTATTTCAAGATTCAATTCATCATCAGGTTGGTTTGCATTATTATTACATAAATGACAAACGCTATCAGGTCAAGGTTGACTCGATGAGTAAAGTGCATTTGTTTGAGTATGGTTTGCTTGCAGAAAGTCAACGGCTTTTCAGTCGAGTTTATGGATTAGACTGACAACTCTAAATGAGACTGAGATCATTCGATAGAGCATGATGAGTGATGCAAACCCTAAATGAGTTTCACTTGTGTGGTGCGTGTTTCCTGAGATCTTTTAATCGATTGAAATTGATATGGTTGAATGACAGACAGACAAGCATCATCTAGTTAGAAAAGAATGGCGATTCTCAATCTCTTGTTTAACCATATTTCCCACAACCCAAATCTACGACAATCACCATCATTTTGAATTGTCCGAAAAGCGGTCAACAATTTAGTGGATTTGAGGGGTGAAAATCTTATGAAAAACTGATTGAAAATGTGGGATAAAAGGATGGAAAAAGTCGGTTCTTTTTTCTGGTTATGGAGTTATTGTTATTCAAAACTTGTTAGCTGAATAGCCCTGAATGTTTATGATAAAAATGGTCAAACTTGAAGCCCAAGGAGGAACCACTCACCATACAGATGAAAGCCATTAGGGTTTAAAATTTAAAAGATTTAAATAAGATTTAAAAAGCCGATAAATCTAGAAATAGTTTAACCATGTAAGGGATCATTTATTTGTCTCTCTTCATTTTACAGTTTGTGATTAACAGTTCACCCAAGAGTACAGGACAAGAGGTTTCTCTCAATACAATTTTGTCAAACTCACAAAGCGGTGCTGGTGAGGTAAAAGGTAATTCAAAGGTATTTTTAACAAACATATTAAAGTGAATTGTTCTCATCAAAGATCTGAATGAAAAATTTATTATTACATTTTATCACATCAGTTGCTCACAGCACTCACAACCAGAGTCTACTTGATCTAGTACTCAACCCTTAAACGTTTCATTTCTGAATAAAAGGTAAACTATTTTCAAGGCAAAACTGGTGAAGCCTAAACGCTTAGTCACAAAGGTTTATGACTAATTTTGAAAACATTTCATTGAACTTAACATTAATGAACATTCCTTACTGCCCAACCTAAAAGCAACTAGAACGAGTTTAATTAATCGATTAACTTTTCGGGCAAAACTTTTTTCGAGGGTAAAATTAAACAATTTACTATCGGCAATTACCCATATTAATCGAAATTTGTTTATACAAAAAGTTGATTAAAAAAAGCGAAATGTTCTTTTTTCACTCGAAGTTGTCGATGAAAATTGAACTCGAGTTTCAACCCTTTTCTTTGGTGTAAGATAACCTATTATTTCATTTCCCTTTGAGTTGTAATGTTTAGATGATTTACCCGCAAGCAATAGAGAGGTTGGTTAAAAAAGCATAACAAAAAACATGTTTTTTTCCTGTTTCTTAACATGATTATTATTAATGTTGAGACAAACTATGAAACCTTATTCACGAAGTTAATAATTTTTTGCTTTTATTCATTCATTTCATTCCTACTTTGTTCATGATAGACTTTATCAGAATAAAGAGAGAAAATGTTTTCAAAAGCAAATTACTGCTATCCTTAGACTGCAAATTAGTTGTGGTTCAAGACTGGAAGATGGATTTAATCCATGAATTTTATTATTCCATCATTTCCCATGATTATTTAGTTCTTTCATATTTTCCTGTCAGAATCTAAAGTTATCAGATGTAATTTAAAAATATTATTATTGACTGATCGGTGGATATAACCTTTCAATCTTGCTCATGATATTTTTTTGCATTCTTTTGCTTTTCTTGTTTCCATCTTTGGTTCTTGAGAGGAAAAGCTTTTGCACTTTACTTTTATTCATTATTTACCTTTTCTACTTCTCATGTTTGCTGTATTATTTTCAGGGTAACTTTATACTTGTGTTTACATCTTTTTTGAATACTTTTGATTGTTGGCTGAGAAAAGAAATGATGAACATGATGAAAGGAGGAAAAGAAACAAGAACAGGTTCGATTGAATTGTTTACAGAAATGAATCAATACTTATTAGAGTGTAAAAAATGATCTCAAATTTTATCAGTTTACAGTTTGTTTCTTTACAATATTCATTTTGATTAATTATGAATGTTGATTGATTTTGTCAATTTCAGTTGAACAAAAGAGTTTCAATTTTATTTGATTTTCAAATGAAATGTTTCATTTTGAATGAAAAGGTGAGAAGATGTTAACTTTTAGATCTTTTATGCAAAAATTTAAAGCTCAACCAGCCTGAATTGATTTGCTTTAACCTTTAACTTTGATAATTGATTGGAGGTTGACTGAACTTGACCAAGTTCAAATACATTTCGATGCCAAAAATGGTGAAAAGCAAATATCTATTTTAGATTCAATTCGATAGAATGAATTTTTTTAATGAACTCAGCTGAATTTTAGTGACCAAAATTAATGAACTTTGCTGTTACAATGATAATGCAAATAAACTGATGATTGAGTCAAGTCAGCAGATAAAATCTGAGTCAGTCTGTATGTTCATCATCATATCTTTCATGTCCGAAAATGTGGTGGACAATTTTGTTGAGAAAAGTCTCTTTAAAAAATGATGTTTGATTTGGTTGATGTGGTTGATGTGGTGTATGTGTTAGATTTGGGTGGTGGTAAATATCAGCCACTCTAAAAGTGGTGATAAAGTGTTGGATGTGGTGGAAAAAAGCCATC